CTAGCAATGGCCTCCAACCTACTAGCAATGGCCTCCAACCTACTAGCGATGGCCTCCAACCTACTAGCGATGGCCTCCAACCTACTAGCGATGGCCTCCAACCTACTAGCAATGGCCTCCAACTAGCAATGGCCTCCAACCTACTAGCGATGGCCTCCTGGTAGAAAACATACGCAGTTAAACATTGACGAACCAAAGACTGAGGATTCGATGGTTTCTGTCAGAGCCCAAGAATACTGTCAGTGCTGCAGGAGAAACCCATCCGATGTAGAAAGTCACGGCTAAAACGAAAAGGACGGAAACAAATACCAAGCAAACGTAACACACACACTTGGGATAGGGTGTACTGAACTGAATGCGGTGCCACACGCCGGCCTAGGTTTAAAAAAAACCTTAGGAAACGAGGTAAGTAAAAAACCTTAGGAAACGAGGTAAGTTAAAGTTAAAGTAGAGGCCGACGCCAGAAGTTGGAGGTCAGCACCTAAGTTTGGAGGCCCAAGCAACAGCAAGCAGCAGCAAGCAGCAAGCAGCAGCTATGCCCACCCCAACTCTGCTGACTGGATAGGAAAGCATCCAGCCAAGCAGAGTGGACGCGCCGGCCCTAAGGGCAACCGGCAAGCCAACTACTAGAAAGGAACCACAAATAGAAAGAGGCCCTAGCGACAAGGTTGGAGGCCTGCGCAATAGGTTAGAGGGCCCATAAGACACAAGGCAGTGAGAAAAACACAAAACAAAACCGAAAACGGATGTGACTCCAAAGGTTGCACTGCAACATTATGAAAGACATCAAGGTTTGTGCGTGTCATTCCTTTCAACTGCAACAACGTAGTACACTGCAAGATTTGTGCGTGTCATTCCTTTCAACTGCAACAACATGGTACACTGCAAGATTTGTGCGTATCATTCCTCTGCTGAAAACCGCAAAAGCACAAAAACGCTGAAAGCGAGAACAATCCGAAAGGATCCCTATGATTCCCCAGCTGAAAAATCCGAAAGGATCCCTATGATTCCAAGGGTTACACACACACGCCTCCCCGAAGGGAGGCATGTGTGACCTCCATCCTGCCCGGAAAGGAGGTAGGCACATGTGCACGCAAAAGGGACAGATGAAAATGAAAAGGACAAAAGGAACCAAGTGAAGAGGGACAACCGATGAGCCAAACCTCATTGTAACGAACCTGGGCCACCCAAACCTCGTTGTAAGTAGAGTACGCGTGCGTGCATGTGTACAAACTAAGGTCCGGACGATAGTGCGCGCAAGAGAAAGAAAGGATGAGGATGGAGAGACATGAAGACAGAAGGACATGAAAGGAAAGAAGGAAAAAAAGTCTGTGGGGGCGGATGAAAGGGGAACCAAATGAAAGGGGGCAAACCGATGACAGTCCAAACCTCATTGAGAAACCTGTTGCAGAAGCCTAGTTTGCTTGTAAATACGCCACGCGCGAGGAAAGAGGGGGGAGGGGAGGAGGAAAAGAGAAGGAGGGAGAGAAGGAAGCAATGTTCCCAGCTACGGCACAAGCGTCCAAGGACACAGCAAAAAGGAAGGGCTCCCAGCTATGACGAAAGCATCCAGGGACGCCCAAGGAAGAAAGAGGGTGAAGAGAGGAAAAAGAGAAGGAAAGAAAGAGAGAGGGAGAGAAAGGGAGAGGAGAGAAAGGAAGGTGTTCCCAGCTACGAACAATCGTCCAGGGACACACCAAAGAAGGAAAGGGGAGATCCTGAGTATTACATTCAGGAAAACCCCAGAAAGCAAGAGAGAAAGGGGGAGGGCAGGGGGAGAAGGGGGCTAAGTTCTCCACAGGTTCCAATGAACCTCGAAAGTGCTACGGTCGCTCTGACCACGTTGAGGCGTTAAGCCAGCTTGGACCGCTGCGGTCACGTAGAGGCATGAGCCAACTTGGAGTTCCAAAGATGAGACAAAAATCATCGTACGTACGGCCTAGGCCACCTACGCTCGCTGCGAGCTGCTGTGTATCCGGGCAATGGATACGTTCGACGTACACCCGTTCGACGGGTCCACGGGAGGCACTCTGCGGGCTCATCCCGGGTTGGCGCGAGGCCAAACACACTTGGGATAGGGTGTACCACATAGTCCGTGTTACTTAGGCCAGAACAGTTACTTATAAATTACTTACAAACTTACTTATACTGACTTATGACCTTACTACTTAGACCTACTTATAACCATACTTATAAGTAGGCTAAGTAGAGCGCAGGTGTTTGACAAGAGCTTGTTTTTTAACTTTTTTTACTTTTTTACAAAAACATGTTTTTTTGAGGTTGTAAATTGTTATGTTTTAAGAAATTTTTTGAAAATCCTGGGTTTTTTCATTGTGTGAGTGCTCTTCTAAAACCATCCCTGTTTGTAGACCAAAGAGGGGCGAGGCAGCCGCCTGTTGAACATGTCAGTTCCTACAGCGGTGACACCGCCACCTAAAGCGGACACACCGCCAACCCCACATAATTGAACGCAACAGCAACAAAACAAAGCGGTGTGTGGGTCAGCGTGGTAATTCTTTTTCACAGCAAGGTAGTGAGCACATCATCGTCCCATCGCCACCACGGAGGTAGCGTCCATGACTCGCTCAAAGCAGGCGTGAACAAATGGGACTCTTGGCTTTGCCAAAACGCGTCCCCAGTTCCGTGACTTCAGGCACTGCAGCTTCTTCAAGTCTTCAACCAAAAGCTATATGCGGTTTGCTCTCCAAAAACGATTTCCTCCACCACACCAGCAATACCAATGGCCTAGAGAGAGCTTTCCTACAGAAACCGAGGCAATCAAGAAACAAGGGAGTTCCTTTTTCCTTTGGTGAACGCTCAATGTGGCCAGACATCTGACGACTACATCTGACGACACTTGACCTCACCCTGACTACACACGATGTCAGAACGAAGTCAGGCCCGACGACAACCTGAC